TGTCCACTGAAGTCAAAATATAAACATTTCTTGGGTCTGAGAAGGTGGCTCAGTGGCATGCCTTGCATGCATGAGGCCCTGGGTTCGATTCCTCAGCACCACATAAGCAGAAAAAGCCTGAAGTGGGACTGAGGCTCAAGTGGTAGAGCACTAGCCTTGAGCTGAAGAGCTGAGGGATGGGACAGTGTTCAGGCCCAGAGTTCAGGCCCCACGACCAGAAAAAACAAAAAAAAAAAATATATATATATATATATATATATATGTGTGTGTGTGTGTGTGTGTGTGTATATATATATATATATATATATATATATATATATATATATATATATATATAAACATTTCTTATCCAGGAATAGATCAAACTGAAAATTTTTAGAGAATCATAGAGGGCACTTTCCACTGTGGAAAACTATAAAATACATGTGTATATTTTCACTATCACAACACAATTATCACAGACAGTGAGGGGAAGATAAGTGATCTCTCAAGGTCATTGAAAGGTTAAAGTTTGAGGCAGTGACCACTTGTTTTGCTTGTTTCTGTCTAGCAGAGCAACACGTGGTGGTAATCAAAACACCTGGTTGATTGTGTGCCTATATAAACCCTGCAAATCCTTAGCTCCGGGCTCTCCTCCTAGGCTCCGCTGTGTCGGAATGTAGGACGAGGCCCGAGCTGCAGCCCGTTTAAATAAAACAGCTGTAGAGTGTGACTCTCGGTGGTCTTCTTGGGGGGGGGGGTCCTGCAACCTTGGCATAACAGTCATCAATAAGAACAAAGAAGCAATAATAAAGATTTTTCTTTCCAATTATGCTCACTGAATCTGCTGCTAAGAGAGTAATAAAGAATGACAAAGACTTCAGGGCTGTATCCACAATAATACATATATGGTCATTATCAATAATGTGAAGTATAACAAATGATGCTAAGTCACAAATGGATGAGGGGCAGAGGCACAGTGACCCCAAAAATTAATTTTAAAAATTAATGTATTTGGGGGGGCTGCTGTGTCTTTGCAACTACAACTGAAAACTGTGCATAACATGTGCTTAGAACATTTTACACCCAAAGAAACATAGGTCCCATGATTTCCCTTATTTGCAATATCTAGTATATGTCTGAGTCAAGCAGAAAACGTCAGATAAGTTGATGTTAGGGAAATGAACCCTAAGATATGTATTCAAATGTTTTTTTCTTTCATGCGATTGTTTCTAACACATTTATAAGATGATTTCTTTGTTGCTTTGTATGTCCCTCCCCCACAGTATAACCCCTGCTTTCACTGTATTTGATGTCGGTATCATTTGTGGAGGGGAAGGGGGAAAACAAATCGTTTAAATAGGGATACAGGTGGACCCATTGCAACAATGAGATGTACAAGTTCGTTATGTCAAAAACGAACTTTACAACTTTGGTGAGGGGGGAGAGGATTGTTGGGGGCCGAGGGGGCGGGGGCGGGGAGGATGGGAAGGGATGGGAAGGGGAAACAAAGGAGGAGGCTACAATGCTTGATAAGATATGTACTCATTATCTTACTCACCTACTGTAACCCCTCTGTACAATATTTTCACAATAAAAAAGAACATTTTACACTCTCTGCTTCCCACCTGCTTAGTCTGCTCTTTCTGTCTATTGTCCAAGTTCACATGACTGACATAGAGCAAGTTTGTATAAGTATACTCTGCCTTCAGTGTCCACCATCTCTACTCTAGGGATTTTAGAAGTCACATCATAACATGATTGTGTCCTGCCAGATGGGAACAGACATAAGTAGGTATGCAGTGGAAGAGAGAGAACTCAGTGGAACATGTGGAGCAATCCTACCAATCAAGAGACAACTAAAATAGTAAGAAGAGATTTGGGGTTTTTTTCCCAGATGTATCTATTACTTGACTTTTTAAATTTTATTTGGATTTAAATTTACATTTTCAAGCAAAGATATGTAAATTACTTGCTTGTTTTCTTTACCTCTATTTTCTGGTTTTTTCTGACATTTAGTAAAGTAAACACTTAATAGGAGGTAAAAGTTAAAAAGAGTTGAGAAAAATAAACTGGACACTGGTGGCTCATACCTGAAATCCTAGCTACTCAGAAGGTTGAGATCTGAGGATCACAGTTCAAAACCAGCCCTGGCAGAAAAGTCCCATTAAGATTCTTGTCTCCAATTAACCACTCAAAAACTGGAAGTAGAGCTGTGGCTCAAAGTGGTGGAGCACTAGCTTTGAACAAAAGAGCTCAGGGACAGTGCCCAGGCCCTGAGTTCAAACCTCATAGCCAACACCCCCAAAAAAGAAAGAAAGAAAAAGAAAAGTAAACATATTTATCTCAATTGTTCTACCTCCCAAGAAATGATCCCTAGCAAATTAGAAGTTAAAATGTTATATTCTATTTATTTCACATGCCAGGGAGCCATTAACTAATATCAAATGCAATATAAAGAAATATTCTTGTGAAATGCTTATGTCTGAGTTAGGAGGAGCTAGAGAATCAATGTGTTGGAAATTGCTGCAGCTAGAGGACTGAGAGAATGTGTCCTTCCCTTTGCTTCTTCACAAATGTGCCATACCTACTAGTATTAAAGCAAGCTTTGCTCTTCCTTTTGCTTTAAGAATCCTCAAGTTCATTGGTTGGTAATGGTGTTTGCAATGCAAATTGTGTCTAAAGAAGGGCTTCATGCCTTTACTGTCTCCATCAAGCAAAGTGTGTATGTCAACATGAGATCACTTATCTTAGGATTTATAGGTAAAGCTTAAAAGCACAAAGATGCAAACAAATAAACAACTATCTTCATTATAGCAATGTTCTACAATTTTTATATTTTTAAAAAAAGAACTTAATGCCTACTTCATAGTTAGTAGTCATGTGAATGAGAGATACCAAAACATTAATGTCTGTATCCACAAGATAAAAGAAACAAAGGAAGAAAAATAACGGAAGCAATAATGTGATTCCTACGTCCCAAGACAATTTGAAGAATGATCAACTGGAATTTCATTTTTAGAGTCTCAAAATTATTTTAATCTTATAAATGGTTATGATTTTAGCCATTTATATTTAAGAGGCACAGTGTGACAATTTGATAATGAATATAATGTGAAGTGATTAAGTCAATACTACTGAAATGTGTTATTTCATTCATAGCAACCAAACTTCATTGGAGGGTGAGCTCCAATATTACCCTCTACTATTTCATCAGAGAGTTCATTTTTCTCATAGGGTTCTGAAGCTTGGAGGAATGACAAGATTCAAGGGATAGTGAATGAAAATTACTCATTTCTGTCACTACTGGACTCTAGAGAGTATGACAAACAGAGGAACAGGATGACAAACCATATGGAGGTTCACTGTATGGATTCCATTTTTGTCTCTGCTGCAGTAGTTACAAACTATTGAAACCAGATGTAGAAGTCTGTTAACTAAGATATTGTGAGATCATTGAATGGAAAAAATAAAATAAAAGAGCTGTTATCCCAAAGTAACATTTCTCTTTTAAATGACACAGGAAGAGATTAGGAGCAGTCATTTTCTAACAGGAACATATAGTATCGAATCACAATTTTTAAACTACAATGAACTATGACATACAGTGCAAATGTGTGATGGGCAACTGTGTGAGGGTGATATTGGAAATTCTTCACTTAGCACTTTACTGTTCTAGCCTCAACCACACCTCAGCTAGGTCCACCCACTCCCTCCTGCCACATTGCTTCCTGACTGTCGCCAGAAGGGGGAGGAGTTTGCCTATCTGGCTTACATGCAAAGTCAGTGAATCTGCCTTCTAGAACTCAGAAGGCTCCCTCTGGAGGGTGACATGGTTACTAACATACCCTAGCAGTAATGCACAAGGCTGATCTTATCTGATGTGAGGAAGCAGAGCAGGAAGAGAAACAGTGGACTCTCTGGAAAGCAGTAGCACAATGACCACAAACTTAAGAGGGAAATATGAAAGTTGTCAGGAAGAAAATGAAGTCATTTTCTTTGCCACTACCACAAGTGAAGTAAATAAAGCCAGGAAGCTATAAAGGAAAGCTTCTTTTGTCTGGCTGCCTCATGGAAACCCTCACAAAAGATTGTGAGAGCTACTATGGCTTTCACCACAGCAGCCCCAACCTCATAGAAAAAAAATGCACATCAAGGACATTTGCCCATCTAGTTACATTAATCACTCAAAGAATTATGTCATTATAATATCTGATGCAATCTTTCCCACTTTTACTTTAAAAACATCCCCTTGCAGTGAAAGGGAGGGGGAAATATTAATGAATGAAAGAATAGCAGGTTACAGTTAGATCAGCACCTGGTCGGTGGAAGTGACTAATGATAAACAATGTAGTGTACATTTCCAAAAAACTAGAAGAAAGGTGTTTGCCCTAAAATTGTCAAATATTTGAGGCGATAGGTATGTTTACTCTGATGTATACCTGTTTATACAGCTGCAAACCTCATATTACTTGAATAATATTAAAATATTTGTGTTGGTGTGTATCTTTTTCTTTTTGGGTCCGGTCGTGGGCCTGAACTCTGGGCTTGGGCGCTGTCCCTCAGCTTTTCAGCTCAAGGCTACGCTCTACCACTTGAGCCACAGTGCCACTTCCATCTTTTTTTTTCTGCTTATGTGGTGCTGAGGAATCGAACCCAGGGCCTTATGCATGCAAGGCAAGCGCTCTACCACTGAGCCACCTTCCCAGCCCGGTGTATATGTTTTTTTAAAAAGAATTTTGACATAACACTTTCCCAGTGCCTACACTTTAAAGTTTCCATACTCATGAAGACAGAGGTATTTCCATTGTAATGCTCAGCTATTCCTAAATAGGAACTGATTTCTGTTTCTTTGTGGGTTATCTGTTTTGTTTTGCTTAGGTTGTCAAACTAACATCCAGATGCTAAAAACTACCCTTTTCAGACTAACAGAAAACACTGTAGAAACCGAAAGGGTTAATTCAGCAAGAACTAAATACAGTTTCAATTTCAGTTTCTTCTTGCACAACACTTACTTGGAGCGCTGTGATATCTGGCTTACTTCTTAGTTTAAAGACCATTCAGACTCCAGAGAAAACTCAAACTAAGGCAGCAGAGAACTTGTCTCCTGACTTCAAAATCGGGTGAGTACTCAGAGTAAATGTGTCTTCTGTGTGCATTTCCCTTAAGAAGCAGAAACAAGAAATGTTCCAAGAACATTCTGGGAGGCCAGAGGGACTGGATTACTGGAAGGAAAGGAGCCCTGTGTGCTTCACAGCTAATAAACTCCCTCTGATCAGACTCAGAGAAGCCAGTCCTGAACAGTTTCAGATGTGCGGTATATTCTCAAAAGCCACCGGTATACCTTGCCGTACTTAGAGAAAATGAATGTTGTTCAGTTTTAACTAGTAATCATAGAAATGTTTGATTATGTACATGATCTAATACTACTCTGATCCTATTTGCCAGTTATTTAACTTGCAGTTGAAAGATTCTTGGCTTAGATTCAGTAGTACTTTGCAGCCAGTATTAAAATAAATAAAACAAGAAAGGAAAAGCAAAGAGAAAAGAAAAAAATTAAGCTCATTGATTTTTTCCCAATGTTTTCTTAAGATTTTTATACATAAAGCAAAAACTGTTTCTTTCTGTATCTAATACAGTAACTAAAGGATGGTATTTTGCTCCAGATAAAGCATAGAAGTTTTACAGAGCAAGTCCAGGAAGAGACCAGTTAGTTTTGTCATTCATTTGTTTCTCTGACAAAAAGATTGTCCTTTCCTTGGTAATTATTATCACATACAGGGCATACTGACACTTACTAACTCCTAGTCTCATTCACTCACTGTAGACACCTTACAGTCATCCTGTAAATTTAAAAATAACTTACTGAGAACCTGTTTCTTATTAGCCTGCATAGGAATGAAGCAGAAATTGATTTATTCACAATATTAATAAGTAAAACAACATATACAGTGATATGCTCTCTTTTTACCTCTGGCAGGCAGTAAAGTGATAGAAACTCTGGAGATTGATCCTTAACTGGCTGTTTTCCAAATCTGTGCTGGGACATTTCAGTGGACTCTGGATTCCTATTTCCTGATTTATTCTCTATTGGTTCTCCCTGCAGCCGCTTCCCACTGCTTCTCTCCTGTCTGTTTCTTCTTCACAGGGTGCTACTTTCCTTGTTCCTGTGGATGGCTATCTCCACATTCAAACCAACTTCTGGTCAAGAGCTACAGAACTGATTCTACTCAAAGCCAGTCTCTTACCTGCATTTAGAATTCCACCCTTTTCACCTTGCCAGTTATTTTGTCTTAACAAACAAAATGTTTATACAGTATTTAATTTAGTCATGATTATAAAATATTTTAACTCTCTTATATCTTGTGAAATAGTGTCAGTATTCACAATTTACAGGGAAAGAAACTCAGTCACAAAAATGTCTTGAAAACTTTGTCCCTTTCACACAAAATTCACTTACATAGCAAATTGTATGGTCAATGTTCCATAATCCACTAGGAGATATAATCAACTACCTGTTTTATCTTCTCAGATATCACATTAACTGATAAATCTGTTATAAGCCTATTTATATCACAAGCATAATAATATTTAAGGCCAACGTGATGACTATTACTCCCTTAGCATTGTTTAGACTAGATATCAAAGAACCAATGTACCAGATCTGATGATGATGGCTCATGACTGAAATCCTAGCTACTTAGAAGGCTGACATCTGAAGAACCAGGCACAAAGTCATACTGGGCTAAAAAGTCTAAGAGACCCTATCTCCTCTTTTTTTTTTTTTTTTTTTGTCGGTCGTGGGGCTTGAACTCTGGGCCTAGGCACTGTCCCTCAGCTCTTCAGCTCAAGGCGAGCACTCTACCACTTGAGCCACAGCGCCACTTCCGGTTTTCTGGTGGTTTTTATTGGAGATAGGAGTCTCACAGTCTCTCCTGCCCGGGCTGGCTTTGAACCGCGATCCTCAGATCTCAGTCTCCTGAGTAGCTAACCCTATCTCCTCTTAACCATCAAAAAAAAAACTGGAAGTAGAACTTTATCTTAAGAGGTAGAGTCCTACCTTTGTGCAGAAAGCTAAGAGAGAGCCTACGCCCTGATTTCCAGCCCCATCACTGGCACACCCACTGGTGCATGCACACACACACACACACACACACACACACATGGACCAGCAGACTAGAACAAGGAGATGGACCTTAACTATGATGGTTTTACCATCACAATACCTGTTAACTATAACTAAATTGAAAGAGAAGTTTGGTCAAGACACCATCACCTACTGAAATTTATTTTGACTTATGTATTTATTCATTTTTAATTTTTTATCACTTGTAAGTAGTTGTGCAAAGGAGTTGCCATTTAATAAAATAGTTTATAAATGCAATGCATTTTGATAAATGTTAGCCCTTTCAACATTCTTACCTCTCCCTCCCAGCCCACTTCTTCGCTCACCTTCCTTAATTTTATAGGCTATATGTTGTATTATTGAGTGCATTCTTTCCCCTTTTTTTCTTTTTTCTTTTTTGCAATTTCTTTTTTTAAATTCTTTTATTGTGTAGGTAGTTGTACAAAGGAGTTTCCATTCACAAAGCCATTTATGAATGCAGTGCTTTTTTATCAATGCCACCCCATTCGACATTTTTACTCAAAATGCTCAACCCACCTCTTCCCTTACTTTTCTTAATTTTGTAGAATATGTACTGAAACTTTGTCATTTAACAAAGCAGTTTTGTGTACAAAACTGTGTCATCCCTTCAACGTTTTCACCACCCTTTGATCCACCCCTTCCTCTATTTGTCTTAATATTGTGGTATATACAATGAGTTATTGACCAAATTCTCCCTCATTCCCCACTTCATTTGTCTACTCCTCCCCCTTGCTCCGCCCTCTGCCAGGACTCATTTCCTAGCACTTATTTTGTTGGCTTGGACGTACTATTTCTAGCACTAAATTTTTTTTTTTTGGATCCGGTCGTGGGGCCTGAACTCTGGGCCTAGGTGCTGTCCCTCAGCTCTTCAGATCAAGGCTAGCACTCTACCACTTGAGCCACAGTACCACTTCCAGCTTTTTTCTTTTTGCTTATGTGGTGCTGAGGAATCGAACCCAGGGCCTCAAGCATGCAAGGCAAGCACTCTACCACTGAGCCACCTTCCCAGCCCCTTGACGTACTTTTTCTAAAGAAGTATACTATTTGCATTCTCTATAGAGTCTATTATACTTCAATTAATTCATTTGTAACCACTTGCATACCTCTCATTGTGTTTACTTATAGATTTATAAGCACATTCTAGCTACCACAAATGAGGGAAAACCTTTGTTTCTCTGGGTTTCACTTACTTCACTTAATATGAATTTTTCCAAGTCTTTCTATTTCCTTAGGAATGGTATAATATCATTCTTTCTAATGAATGGGTAAATTTTCATTGTGTGTGTGTGTGTGTGTGTGTATAAACATATTTTCTTTTTTTTTCTTTTTTTCTTTTTTTTTGCCAGTCATGGGGCCTGAACTCTGTGCCTTGGCTCTGTCCCTCAGCTCTTCAGCTCAAGGCTAGCACTCTACCACTTGAGCCACAGCTCTACCTCTGGCTTATTCTGCTGAAGAATCGAATCCAGAGCCTCATGCATGCGAGGCAAGCACTCTACCACTGAGCCACCTTCCCAGCCTAAATATATACCATATTTTTTGATCCATTTGTCCATTGAGGGATATCTGGGCTGATTTCATATCTTGGCTATGGTGAATAATGCTAAAGTGAACATGGTTTTATTGGTAGCTTTACTGTAGCCTTGTTTATACTCTATTAAATAAATGCCCAGGAGTGGAATCGTAAAATTTTTATGATGAAAGAATAGAGAACAGCTCACCAAAAAATCATAAGATAAAGCAGTGACAGATGGAAACTCTACCCTAACCCATGGAGTGTTGCTAACATCACTAATTCACATATTTGAACAAATTAATTTTTTAGTATTAAAATAGGTAACATTTCCAAGAAGCCTTCCTCTCAAAGAAAAAACATTCTTGAACCATGTCTACATCTATGTTGGTAGAAATGGCTAGAGACTAATGAAACCAGTGATAAGACCAAAATGAGGTAATATCGTGCATAATCCTCCAATCCAGTGCTGAAGTAGTAAGAACACGTATTGAACAGGTTCCATATTACCAAAAGACAAAGGAATCTCTTTCTTTGTAATCAAAATGTACTGAATTTTTAGCCAGTCACTGGTGACTTATACCTGTAATCCTAGTTACTCAGGAAGCTGAGATGAGATCTGAGGATCACAGTTCAAATCCAGCCCAGACAAGAAAGTCCATGAGCTCTTATCTCCAATAAACTACTCAGAAAGAGCCAGAAGTGGTGCTGTGGCTCAAGTGTAGAGCACTAGCCTTGAACACAAAGTGGTTTAGTTAGGGATAGTACCCAGGCCTTAAGTTCAAGCCCCAGGACTGGCAAAAAAAAAAGTACTGAATTTTTTATCCTCTTTAACCCAAGTAATAATTTATATCCAAAATAATTTAATTAAATTTTATTAAATTACACTGTATTACTTTCTTGTAATCTAATTATACAACAGTTAATGATCCCTCATCAAAGGAGGCAACAGGTGTGATCAGTTATCACATATGTAAGAGTAGTTTACAAAAACCCCTCTGAGCACCACTACATGAAAGTCTGCCTAGACTTTCAAGATCATGAAGTGGAAGGGAAATGTTACCCAATTCAAACAGGCACTTGTGTCTGCCTTTAAGGACCTGTTCATGGAGGTTGGAGCTAATTTACCTGTGGATGCCATAGCTTTGAAGAGAAGACTATCTTGAAAGTGTTACAGTATACAAGAACTCAATCAGTGAAATACAGAGAAGCCACACTTTCAGAGTTGGGAATCTTTATTAGAAAGACAGCGAGTGCAAGCTGACTAGTGTCCCAAAGAACCTGCAGTACCAAGTGTTGTTAGCATAAAGCTTACAAAGGAGAAAAAAACACATCAAGGAAGATGCCGCATGGTATGAGGATTAGCAAGTATGTTTACAGAAGCAAAACAAGCCAGTTATGGTTAACTAAGGGGGGCAGTTAGGGTTCGTTAGAAATTAACTAGTGGGGACAATAACCGGTAGAGATTTACTGGAATCCAACCATCTTAGCAATCAGGGCTAAAGGATAGAGATTTCCTGGAGTCTAACAATCCATGACATCTCTCCAGTTCTCAGACCTGTGCCCCATCTATAGTTCTTGGAATTGAGTGAAATGTCCCTGCACCTATTAAGGTGTTAAGATGGTGGTGGGGGCAAGATGGCATTGCTTAGGCCCCATATCCATATTTCAAGAGTACTTAGCCAAATTAGTCTGGCCAAATTGTGGAGCTCTTTGATCCTGTTAGGATCCTATAAAGGCAAGAAATGTGCTTTTAGATTCCCGCTTCTCCCTTTCTCCTTACATTATCTAGTTATAGCAGGGAACCCCTATTGAATTGAATAGTCTTCCATCTCTGAAAGCTTTCTCCACTCTTGTATAATTTGTAAAGAGAAAGATGCTAAAAATCCTGCTGGTGAAATTTGAGGATCCTGAAGAGACTCCCAACAATTTCCAACCAACACCTTTGGTGTCATGTAGATGGGGCACAAGTTCAAATGCCAGTGCTCTTGTTACTAAAAAGCAGCTGAGGAAATGGGCTGCCCCTCTTCCAGGAGTGGCTGGTAGACTCTGAAGCCATGTCAGAGAAGAGGAGCTGGGGTGTTCCAGTGCCCACTTTCCATTTGACTTTATGCTTTATCCAGACTTGAATATGTGCAGGATTTTATCATCTGTCTAGATTGTTAAAGCTGAAAAGATATTGAGGTTATTTAGCTGAATTTATCTAAAAGTTCTACTTTTAGAACTTCAAATATAGATTCTTATTAGAGGAATACTACCTATAATCTGTACAGAATAAGTTTCTCACAGAGTTCTAACACTTAATAACTGGAGCCAGATGCTGGTGGCTCACATTTGCTACTCAGGATCACTGTTCAAAGCCAGCCCAGGCAGGAAAGTCTATGAGACTCTTATCTCCAAAAAACTGCCAAAAAAATAAAGCTGGATGTGAAGCTATAGCTCAAATGATAGAGTGCTTGATGTGAGCAAAAGAAACTCACAGCGTCCAGGCCCTGAGTTCTAGCCCCAGGACTAGAGATTTAAAAATACCTGAAAGTCACAATAGAAAATGGACATTTTATAATGCCTAACCCATACCTCTAAGTATTTTAGACCCTTTTCTCAGCATTGCTGGTCATAGTTTTGTGGGGGGTTCTTTTATATGCCTATTGCTCAAAATTTTATGGGACTTGCCTGAACTATTTCTTTTCTGTTTCTGGAGAAATGCTCTGTGCCAATTTGAACTCAGCTGTGTAAAATATGTCTCACCTATAGACAGCAGGTTATCCCACCAGTCTTTTTCAGCCTTTTAAACCTGAAGTTGAATCTTGAAGGCGAAGTTTCTATCGTAAGGATCCAGATTCCTTTCTCCCTCCCTGGGAAAATGTGAGCTTATCTCGCATAATATAAATACATAAACATATGCTCATTGTAAAATGATTATAAAGAATAAATGTATATAGAAAAAATGGTTTTCCTATTTCCTATTTTTTCAAATGAGAATCAAGTCAAACATGAAATCCATATACACTCCATGTACAAAGCCTGAGGGTAACTCTACACAATATTTTAAATAATTTTGCACAAAAAAAGAAAGTTTCCTGGTATGGAATACTCTTCTTGTCAGTGCTCAGAATGTTTGGCTTTTTGGAGGATACTGGATTTTGAACTTCCACATTAGGGTCACTCAAGTGTATTGGATGAATGTTTGTAAAAGAGAAAGTTTAGTCTGGGCACTTCCCTAGAACTGAAAAGAAGTTCAGCCATCAGGGAGAGGTGGGTGTTAAGCCACAGTCCTTTCAGCCAGCAGGAAAGAACTATGTAGGTTTAACAGCTCTGCTGCTTGATTTACATGCCCCCCTTTTTTATCAGACTGATTGGAACAAAGATTAGAGCTTTCTCTGTAACTCTTAACAGTGTGTATGTGATGACTATACTTGGAGGAACAGAATACCAAGTGAGACAGACCGACAGACAGACAGACAGAAAGAGAGAGAGAGAGAGAGAGAGAGAGAGTCAAAGGGACTGAGAGACAGAGAGATAATAAGACAGAGATTAAACTAATATTAAAAGACCCAGGACTTAATGATCCACCAATCACTCCCCAATCAGAGCAGGTCCTCAGGCCAAAGATGCAGCTTCTCCTTCCATTACACCCTGATTCATACCACAGAAGGAAAAGATGTACAAGTGGCAGACACCCACATTTGCTATTACAGAGGAGACAGTACATGGCTTGATTTCAGGGAAAGATAGTGTCCCAGCCCACATTGCTAATGCTTTTATCCAAATCCAAGTGGCATTGGAGAAAAATTTCCGACTCTGTCAGCATTGGCTCCTGGAGAACACCACAGGCAGACACTGGATGCTCACTCTTCTCCTCTCAGAAAAGCCATTCCGTGGAATTCATAATGAGTATCATTCCTTTAAAAGCATATCAAATGTTGAAAGTTTGTATACATACTTCATAAGCAGAAAGCTGATAAGCATATAGCTTCACTACCCATAGCAAGTACTTCCAATGTTGTATATTTTAATGAGTGGCTTTTCTGAGTTTCAGGTTACCATGCCATCTATGTCTACGATGAAGGCCCCAGTTTGTTTAGTAGAAAACAAGAATGAGCAGCTGACAGTAAATCTGGAAGCCTTAACACTTCTTGAAAAGATATCTCAACCTTTGGTGGTGGTGGCCATTGTTGGGTTATATCGAACAGGAAAATCTTACCTCATGAATCGACTTGCAGGACAGAACAGTGGTGAGTACAGTCTTGGGGCAGGTACCATTCTCATGCAATAATAAAACAAGCTGATCATATTTTCTTAAGACAGAGTTTAATAACTCCCATGAAAAACATTTCCCCTTTTCATCATCAAGCTTACAATTTCAAATCTACCCACAAAATCTCACTTTCTTGGTCACTAATTAAGAATTTTCTAATCGTCTCAAAAGTTTCCCCACTTTTTTTTCTGGTACTATCCAGCCAGTCTCATTTGTTCAGGAGCTAATCTCCAACAAGTTCTCTTTTTCTCCTGCCTCCTTTACCTAAGCTACATGCTCTTTTCAAGTAGCCATATAATTTATATGACTCTAAGGAGACTGAGTAGGCAGAAGAATACACAGAAACATACCTGTTCATATCCAAATTATACTACAGAAAAAGTGGGGTGATTGAGGTAGGAAGTCAAGCTCCAGGGGCATTGTGGCCCACTAGGGTAGAAGCTGGGGGAACATGACTCCTTTGGGGATGACTTGTAGCTACTTCCTACATTTCAAATTCTACCAAAAGCCAGAAGACACAGGAGCTCTTTTTGGTCAGATGCAAATACATAGGTTAGTATCATTTACACTAATTTGAGCATTGGAAGCAACATGGTGAATAGGAGATGCAAGGTTTCTTGAGAAATTATTTTTGTTGTTGTTGGTCATAGGGCTTGAACTCTGGGCCTAGGCACTGTCCCTGAGCTCTCAGCTCAAGGTGAGCACTCTACCACATGAGCCACAGCGCCACTTCTGGTTTTCTGGTGGTTAATTGGAGATAAGCATCTCACAAACTTTCCTGCCCAGACTGGCTTTGAATCATGTTCCTAAGCTCTCAGCCTCCTGAGTAGCTAAGATTATAGGTGTGAGCCACAGTGCCCGGCTTGAGAAAGATTGGATATTTTCTAGACTTGCTGAATGGTAGCAAAATTTTTCTTTTCTTTTTTCCTTTTTTTTTTCTCTTCCAGTCCTAGGGCTTGAAATCTAGACCTGGGAACTGTCCCTGAGCTTTTTGGCTCAAGTTTAGAGCTCTAACTGTTGAGCCACAGCATCACTTCTGGCTCTTTCTAAGTAGTTTATTGGAGATAAGTCTCATACACTTTTCTGCTTGGGCTAGCTTCAAACCACAATCCTCAGATCTCAGCCTCCTGAGAAACTAGAAATATAACCACCAGTGCTCAAAAAAACTTTTATTTTATTTTATTTTATTGTAAAGATGCTGTATAGAGGGGTTACAGTTACATTAGTAAGGCAATGAGTACATTTCTTGTCAAGTATTGTTACCCCCTCCTTTGTTTTTCTCCTGCAATCCCTTCTCTCTACCACCTCCCTCACTCCTCCTATCCCCTCCATGAAGTTGTAAAGTTCATTTCCAATATAGTGTCTTGTGAATGTCATTGTTGCAATGAGTCAGCCTGTGTCCTTGTTTAAGTATTTTGTTATTCCCTTTCCCATCCTCAAATTAGATAAATATATATACAAGATGCAGGGTACCAAAATCAAGTACAGTGACAACAGGGGATATAGCATAGGGGAAGAACACACAAAGGAAACAAAAATATCACATAGTACATTAAAAACAACAACGACAAAGAAAGCCCTCTTGTGTCCATATCTTGGGGTTATTTTACTTAGCATCATCTTATGGTTAGATACCTTTTGAGCTTTTCTGCTCATCTGGTAAAATTATCCTAGACATATTCTAATGACTGAAAATGAGGGAAACCATCGATGCAAAACTTCTCAACAGGGGCTGGAAAAGTAGCTCAGTGGTAGAGTGCTTGCCTTGTATTCATGAGGCCCTCGGTTTGATTCCTCAGCACGACATAAGCAGAAAAAGCAGAAGTGGTGCAATGGCTCAAGTGGTTGAGCACTAGCCTTGAGCTGAAGAGTTGAGGGACAGTGCCCAGGCCCAGAGTTCAGGCCCCACGATCGACAAAAAATAAAAACTTCTTAACAAAATTTTGGCCAATCCACTTCAACAACTCATCAAAAAAATCATACACCACGATCAAACAGGATTCATGTTAGGGATGCAAAGCTGGTTTGCTATACGCAAATCAATTAATGTAATTCATCACATCAAAAAGAACAAGGATAAAAACCACATGATGTAGAAAAGGCATTTGACAAGATCCAACACCCCTTTATGATGAAAGCTCTGGAAAAACTAGGAATCCATGGGACATTCCTCAATACAATAAAGGCTGTATATGACAAACCTACAGCCAGCATTATACTTAGTGGAGAAAAGCTAAAGCCATTTCCTCTTAACTCAGTAATGAGACAAGGATGTCCACTCTCTCCAGTCCTCTTCAATTTAGTATTAGAATGCCTAGCTAGAGCAATAAGACAAGATGCAAACATCAAGGGGATTCAAATAAGGAAAGATGAAGTAAAACTTTCCCTCTTTGCAGATGACATGATCTTGTATTTAAAGAACCCCATGGACTCCATTCCCAAGTTACTAGAGCTGATTCAAAGCCTTGGTAAAGTAGCAAGGTATAAAATTGACCCTCAAAATTCAATGGCTTTTCTGTATGCCAATAATGAGAAGAGTGTGACTGAAATCAGTAAAGCATTTCCTTTTGAAATAGCCCCACAAAAATAAAGTAACTAGAATTAACTTAACCAAAGAAGGACCTCTATGACGAAAACTTTAAAAACCTGAAAAAGGAAATTAAAGTAATCATGCTCCTGGATTGGGAGGATTAACATTGTGAAAATGGCAGTACTGCCAAAGGTTATCTACAAATTCAATGCAATACCCATCAATATCCCAACCTCATTCTTCAAGGAAATAGAAGAAGCAACCCAAAAATTCATATAGAACAATAAAAGACCCCAAAATAGCAAAAACAATCCTTAGCAGAAAGAACAGCGCTGGAGGAAGATCAATACCAAACTTTAAAATCTACTACCAAGCCATAATACTCAAAATAGCTTGGTACTGGCACAAGAACAGACCTGAGGAACAATGGAATAGAACTGAAGTCCCAGAAAACTTTTCTTATCTTTGCTAAGCATTCCTTCCCTATTCACTTGGTTTCTTTGTTGTGACCCTGTGTTGTTTTTCCTCTTCCCTTGCAGGCTTCACCCTGGGATCCACAGTGAGGTCTCAAACCAAGGGTATCTGGATGTGGTGTGTGCCCCACCCCACCAAGCCAAACCACACACTGGTCCTTCTGGACACTGAGGGCCTAGGAGATGTGGAAAAGGTAGACAGAGAATATTCTCTACTCTGGATTATCTAGATTTTTTGTCACCTCCTTTCAACTTCCATAACACACTCCTGTAAACTTCAAATGTAATCATGGTGCTAAATTCCATGTTTTACAAACTCCCTTGGAAACCTCTGATGCTTTGTCTGATTTAATTTTATACATATGGATTGAAAAGCTGAGGTCCATGGCTCCAATGTAAGTACTACAGACATAATAGAAAGCATGGTAAAGGCCAAGAACCTGACTGTGCAGACACAATATATGGAGTATGATCACGACAATGTAGAACATTGATCCACTACATTATATTAGGGAAAGGTCCTTGCAAACACTGTGACCAATGGGATTAACAGGATCTCCTAGCTCAAGTGCATGGGTTTGATGGGTTGCAGGTAACGATCATGATAATGGGTTCCAAAGAAGAAATCCATTTAACTTTCAGGAAAGCTTGTTTCATCACTCAAGTCTTGCATATAACTCTGAGCTCTTGGCATGAATTGTTCAATAACTAAAAGCATAAGTTACACTCATGAAAAACACTAAAGTTTGAAGTATGTTCTTTGTACTGTTAGAGGCAACCAATTCTTTTCTCCTAATTTAAAATTAACCTGAGCCTAAATTAAAATGCCAGCAGTCGATCCTTGTCTTCCATCCCTGCAAAAGGTGGCCAGGAAGAAGGCATTTGAAATTCTGAATTTAAAATGTTTTTTCCAGTTATCTTCTAAGTATAAATCCAAGTTGGACTATGAGTTGTAATAGGTTAAAATTTGTTCAACCTTTTTAAAATATCTTTTTGCATTATCAATAAACCAAACAGAAGTGGTTGGTGGCAGAATTTCTGGCTTCCCTTGTAACTTACAATGTGGTTTAAGTGATACCTGAATCTCTTTCAAAGCTGTCTGTGGATTTTTTTCTAGCCTCATTTTCCACTCTAGCATGTACGATCATTGTTTCCATTCAATGAAATAATTCTGTGATGATTGTATATTCTTTGCTCTAACATCTTTTCTTGGTTTCTGCTGTTCTTCCAAGTGCTGGATCCCTTCATCTCAACAAGTCCATATTCTATTAACCCATTCAAGCTCAACTAATTTTCAATTTATTCAGTCACATATGGTAATTTCTTGTGCTGAATTCCCAGAATAATTATTCTAACTTTATGAAACTAACACTTTGTTTTGTTGTGGTGTTCTACTTGAAAGCTTATATCCACTCCTGTGGTTGCATTTATATCTTGAATTATCTTGAGGACAGGGACTATTATTTAGTAATTTACATAGCCAAAAACACAGATCTAATGTAAACTCATTGAACTTGATTGTCTCATATTTGTGCCCTTAGCATAGCCACATTCAAAATGAAAGTTTTATGATACTATGTGCGCATTATCCTGCCCATGTGATTGTAACCCCTCTGTACAGTATGTTCACAAAAAAAATAAAATTAAATTTAAAAAAAAGAAAGTTTTATGATACTGAAAATAAACTATGTCCTAGATATTTTTTAAATATTTATACACATTAGAGGTGTCACTTTCTTAAATCCTAAACAGAATAGCATCTGATAAGTTTCATCGTAACTATCTATATGAGGTTTAAATTTAACAATATCTTCAAAATATGTTGTTTTCCTCAGATTCAGTAATTACACAACAAAAAAAGTGAATGAATGAATAAATGAATGAATGACCAATAGTTGAGTGAAGAATACACTTGTAAGTCCCTTACTCTCATGTGTTTTCAAGGGTGATCCTAAGAATGACTCATGGATCTTTGCCTTGGCTGTGCTTCTGAGCAGCTCCTTTGTCTACAACAGCCTAGGCACCATCAACCATCAGGCCTTGGAGCAGCTACAGTATCCTTCTATGAGAGGAATTGTCATGTTTCATTGAGTTTAGAATGGAAACTGACACTAATTGTCTTAGTTCAGTAAGAATGGACATAGGACAAAGAAGATTTGTTTGTGAAATCTGGATGTTTGTTGTCTGACAAAATTCCTTACCTAAGATCCCAGTTATGTAACTGAATTAACACAACTAATCAAGGCCAAGTCCAGCCCTAGAACTGATGAACTAGAGGACTCTTCAGAGTTTGTGAGTTTCTTTCCAGACTTTGTTTGGGCTGTTCGGGATTTCTCTCTGGAGCTGAAGTTAAATGGTTGTGTCATCACGGAAGATGAGTATCTGGAGAATGCCTTGAAGATGATTTCAGGTATAATTTTCTGGCCTCGGAAGAGGAAGGTTCAGTAGAGAAATGGGATCAACTCAGCCCTGTTCAGCACTTGATATATATGTTTACTGGAACATGGATCAATGTCTTTGAAGGTGGTGATTGGTGATTGACAGATGACCTTAACTGTGGCAGTTTTAATGCAAAGCCTTCAGAAGTTCATATTAAACTTACTAAGGAAAATTTGGGGAAATATCAATAATTGTAGACCAATAAGTATCATAACAAAACTTGTGAATTTACTATTAATACTACCACTTTGAAGACTTAAATATTTGCTTTGTGTTTATCTGCTCTTCATATTTTATTTTTAGAAAAATAATTTATCAGATGAGAAGTGGATACAACCCAAATCACAACAAAATCTCATTTTTAAAACATATTTTACTTAGCATATTTTATTAGCCTGTATCATTAAGCCCTTCTGAAAAAGAATATTTATTCATTAAATATCCTCTAATAAATTTTTCTGGAAAAAAAAACTCATATGTGTCCTGCAAAAACACTGCAAATTTTTTCTCTTTATCTTTTTCATAACATTACCTTCTTCATCCTACAGCATAAAATGCAGTTATGTTAATATTAAAACTTCATTATGTGAATTGCATTTAGAGGAGTTGATAAGGAATGACACCTAGATTCAATATCTATTTCAGTTCATTCCTTTATTCACTCTTTGAACGAATGTCTATTTTAAGCACTGATTTATGCCATAGAATTTCTGTAAGACAATGTCTAATATAATCTAGTATCAAATTGCATATAGATTAACTTTACTTTGGGATTTTTCTGCTAAAGAAATCACTAAACCTAATTATGGTATGTGTGTCTGGGCTCTGATTTTTAAGATTTCTTCTTTGCTGACTTGTGAATCATGTCTTCTTTACTGTTTCCTCAGCAACAGAATTCCCTTATTTTCAGCATTATCTTACTTTAGAGGCTGTGTCTCATTTCTAATATAGAACTGCATTATCAGAAATGTCTTTCTGATAATTTCTTGGATGAATCAATTACTCTAAACCTTAATAAACATATCCTCAATTGATCAAGATGCATTGTACTCATCAACTGGCACGTTTAAAGATAACCCCTCTGTATAGCTACTTAAAGAGAATAAAAACAATAAATTTATTGTCCCTTGTACAAAGGCTGTGGAAGCCAATCATAGTTCTCTATCCTGGTGATGAATGTATCTATCTATTGAGCCAAATTTCATGAGGCTGTTTGTATAAGTAGGTGAAGGAAGATGTACAGGCACAGGAGCTCTACTTATACAAAGATTTGGGGAAATTGTTCACATCACTTTGTCTGTAAGGTTTCTCTTCAATGAGTACTCTTTTTTACAGGGAAGAATCCCAAACTACAAAAGTCCAACATGTCTAGAGAATGCATCAGGTATTTCTTTCCAGTCCGGAAGTGTTTTGTTTTTGACCGACCTACACATGACAAAAAATTATTACAAAACATAGAAAATGTTCCAGAAGACCAATTGGAATGGAATTTCCTGGAGCAATCCAAAAAATTCTGTTCTTATATCTTCACAAATGGAAAGACCAAGACACTGAGAAGAGGAATCATTGTCACTGGAAATCGTGAGTTTCCCAAATCGTGGTTTGTAGTTGCTGTTGTTGTTGTTGTTGTTGGTTTCAGTGAAAGAATGTAGAGAAGCATGTGTTCATGTTACACACAGATAACATCTTTCTTAAACACACATTCTCTATGTGTGGGTTTATTGAAGTCTAACATATCTGATAAAACTAATACACTAAGTATGCAAGCACAACTATTGCTAGCAAGAGAAACCTTCAGGATGAAGAAAAGTCTCATAGGATAATGTGACTCAATGAGAAAATGCAAGAAATTTTGGGAAGAAGTCAAAAATGAACAAAAAGCTGTGAATACCATGAAATTTCTTTTAAACACAAATTTAAACAGAGCAGCTTCATGAGTCATGGCTTTTGCAAACATATTGCATGTGCTGAGATGGAGCAGGCTTGGTCCGGTCCTCCATGTTGCAGTCTTAAATTTTCTGATGATATTTTTTTCAAAGTATTCTAATTTGGAATCAGGATTGATAATTTGAGTAATTTCCTTTCTCTAGCTAATAAATTACCTATTTTTATTTTGCTCAAATGGGGTAGTCATTTTCCAGGAAACCTTAAAAAACCCCGGGTTGTAATCAGTAATTTAATTTGGCAATATGGTAAGTTTGAAGAAAGAGTATACACAAAAGACAATTGTGAAAACAAACAGAAATTACTTTATAAATTACTTTATTTCCTAACATTAAGGACTGGGAAGTCTGACTAAGAACTACGTAGATGCTATCAACAGTGGAACAGTGCCATGTTTGGAGAACGCTGTGACTACCCTGGCCCAGCATGAGAACTCAGCAGCTGTGCAGAAGGCAGCCGACCACTACAGCCAGCACATGGCTCAGCAATTGAGGCTCCCCACTGAGGACCTCCAGGAGCTGTTGGATGTGCATGCAGCCTGTGAGAGAGAAGCCATCACAGTCTTCATAGAACTCTCCTTCCAGGATGAAGAGCAAAAGTTCCAGAAGCAACTGGTGGTAATGTCACTTAGCATTTATCCTTTCTGAGTCCCACCTTTCCGAAGAGGCCTAGATTCCACCTTTATATTCCATTGTTCATATCCTTCTCACCAAACAAAGAACCTGAATTTTTATGGGTAGCAGGTCTCTTTAGGCTACAGTATATATTTCTCTAAGAGACTCAATTTTCCATTGTTATAAAACAAATTGTCCTGTGTTAAGCAACTTCCAAGAACATGCGTTTATTATCTCACATTTTTTGAAATGTTAATTTATTTTTATGTCTTTTTTAAATGTAATCTACAACTGTAACCCCTCTGTACAGTATCTTTACAACAAAAATACATTCAAAGAAAAAAGAACTGTAATCTACGTATTTTCACAGTTCCACGTGATATTATACAACACATACTGATAACATCAGGGAAATGTTTACACCTCATTGTTTTTACTTTATATGTGGAATCCTCAAACTTTGCTCATGATTCATAAAATCTTTAAAAGGTTACTGTAAAATAGAGTCACCCTGATGTACTATAAAACACTAGAAATTATTACTTTTATCTGTATTTGTTTATTTTTTAATTTTTGTTGGTAGTAGGGCTTGAGCCCTGGGCCTGGGCCTTGTCCCTGAGCTCTTCAGCTCAAGGCAAGTGCCCTACTACTGAGCCAAAAAACCACTTCTGGTTTTCTGGTGGTTAATTGGAGATAGGAGTCTCAGGGATTTTCCTGCTCAGGCTGGCTTTGAACCACGATCCTCAGATCTCAGCCTGCTGCATAGGTAGGATTACAGGCATGAGCCATTGGTGACCGGCTTTTATCTGCATTTATTACCAGTTATTTAATCTCCCTTGTTCACCCATTGTCCTCTTCCTTCTTAGTTTCTAGTAATAATTATTAGATATTCTGATCAGGTGTTTCTTAAACATCCACATGAGAGAAAACACTGACTAGTTGCTTTCAGTGTCTTATTTAATTGACTAAATCTTAAAGACTTCAAATTTCACTAATTTCATCACAAATAATTGGTTATGATTATTTTCCATGGCTGAATATTATTCTGTTGGGTATATATGTCACATAATATATTTTATCCACTTGTTAATGGATATTTAGATTAAATGGGTATTAGATTCAATTTTTAAATTCAGATGTGAGCATAGAATATCTGTGTGGTGTGTTCAATGCCTCAAGCTAAAATAAGGTATCAAATGTGCTAAGTTCTCAATTGGATACTCTGGGAAAGACCACCCCAATGTAAAGCCAGCAAGAGCATATCAAATACTTCCCTTATTTCTATTCTTTATGACATCTTTTTCTGCCACAGTCACATAAAGCTGATATATTAAAGATCTCATGTGATCAGGCGATATCTCATAAGGCGCTCTATTTTTTAAAGTCAACCTGTGCTATCTAAGGTAATATAATCATGGGATTAGTAGAAAGTTTATGCGCAAGCTGAGGGATAATAAATGGTATACACTGCAAAAGAGCAAATTCTCAAGGACATCTTAATTTGCCTGACCATAGATAGCCACCTTCACTGAAAGCATGACCATAAGTGTATCTGGGTTTGATTTTAAAGCACCAAAATCTCTTATTTTACATTAAAGGATTTCAATTGACCAAACAATTGTCAAAAATGAACAAAAATTGTTAGGATTTGGTCTCTCTTAGTCACACTACAGCAGCATAAAGTTTATTCCTACCTACATCATTTTATAGCTATTGCATCAAAACCCAAAAGAGATAATAGGCTTTCCAACAGTCACACTTGGTCTAAAGCCAGATTCCTGGCTCCATCCATGTCTCAGTCCACTCCAAGACCATTGCACTTCTGACAAAAGGATCCCTAATGAACATTCCCTCTAACACCTTCTTTGCACTTCTTTCCTTACATTGCCTTGACAGGACACCATAGAAAGGAAAAAGGAAGAGTTTATGCTGCAGAATGAATCGGCATCCATCGAATATTGCCAGGCTGAGCTGAAGAAACTCTCAGAAACCCTCATAGAAAGCGTTTCGGCAGGAATTTTCTCCATCCCTGGAGGGCATAGTCTCTACTTACAAGCCAAGAAGAAGTTTGAGCAGGACTACAAGCTAGTGCCCAGGAAAGGAGTGAAGGTGAGGAATAGGATGACCCATGAAGTGTAGTAGGAGGGTCTTTGTTCCTTATTCTGAAAATTCAAGACCGAATACTATTTGTAAAAAGAAAGAAGACACAAGACTATGTTAACATCTTGCATTTGTATCCATCAGTAGTTAGATACTCTAAGAGAAATTAGAAATACGCCTTCCCTAAAAGGATTGACAGGCTGGAATCCAGGTGAACTTTCTTCTTATATCAAAAAAATTTGGAGGGGATAGTTTAAGGATGGGGTTGGGGTAATGACTACCAAAGCCCTATCAGGAATAGATTTTGAGCTATCATATGCACTCAAGATGAAAAAGAGGCATCTGACTTTAAGTCAGAAAATAATGGTCAAGTTGCTTTGGTGTGATGCTATTATACATCACACTAACTGATAAACATAGAAAGAAACAATAAGGAGTAAGATAGGCCTCATGGTAAAAAAGACACTGAGCATTTGCTTCCTATGCCAGAGACAGTTTCAGGTCATTTTACTCGGTTGCCAGTTTATTTTTCAGAATAATATGAACTAGCTAATACCTTCTATCACATTTATGCAGCAGAAAAAGTTAACACCTAGAGGACCAAGTAAGTTATCAAACAGCCAGCAAGTTATTAAACAGCCAGCAAGTGGCTGAACTAACATGGCAACCATTAGAAAATTAGGAGGAGTTTTTGTTTCTTGTTTCTTTTGAGACATTTTTATACTGCTTTCTATTCTGGTGGTAGCAATTTAAAACCCACCAAAAGTTCTTTAGCAACATTTATTATCTTTTGACGTTTTGGTCACAGCCATTCTAACAGAGATAAGATAATGTTTGGTTATAGTTTCATTTTCTATTTCACAGATGATTTGTGATACCAAAGGTTTTTTTACAAATATATGTCAATCACTTAAATTTTTTAAAGTCTATTCAGGTCTGCTTTTTATTTTTATTTTCTGATCATGTTATTTATCCTTTTTTCTATGGAATTGTATGTGTGGTTTCCTATATACTTTGGATGGCAGGTAAATATTTTCTTCCATTCTATTTGCTGTCTTTTCATGTTGTTGTTTCCTGCCCTGCAGAAACTTTTTAGTTTCATGGTTTCTCATCTATTTCTGCAGCTTGTGCTTTTGTTATTAAACCCCCAAATTATCATAAAGTTCAGTGTCAATGAACTTTTCCCCTAGGTTTTCTTCTAAGAGCTTTAAAGTTTCAGATTTTATATTTGGCTCTTTAACTCATCTACAATAACTAACTTAAGAAATTAGCTTATGTGTCCATCAACAGATAGACACATAGAACACTATGTTGTTCGCAGAAAATTGCATAGGGCTGAAAATCATCATGTTAAGTGAAATAAGGTGGGCTCAGAAAGATAAATGCTGCATATTTACTCTTAAATTCAAAATCTAGACCTAAAAGAATCACATAAATATAATAGAAGGATTGTTGAGAGGGTTGGCAGTGGAGAGAGAGAAAAAGGAAAGGGTAGTGGGAGTTGAATAAGCAAAATATGTTATATGAATGTATGAATATGGTATAATGATGGCATATGGTATATAACATGGCATACTGGTTATAAAAATTAATAAACCAAACTTTCCAAAGAAAAGGATCTAATACTACCAAGACAGGCAGAAAGGTATGTGCAAACATTACAACCAATGGAAGATACCTATTTATAGAACTACACAAAAATCTGAAAAGCCTCCAACTTAGTTGGCTTGTGGATGGTGCCCCTTGGAAAGGAGGCTGAAGAGATAAGAAGGATTCTTCTGAGGAAATGCTGCATGTTTCACCAAACACTTAGGCATTTTGTTGCGGTTGTGGAATTAAAGGAACATTGAGATCTTAAGTAGAATCCATTTTGAGAAGTTTCAAAAATAATTTCCTCACAGGACACTAGATTTTTGCTGCCTAAGTCATTCTTGGTCGTTCTTGTTTTGCTAGGCAAATGAGGTTCTCCAGAGCTTCCTGCAGTCCCAGGCTACAGTAGAGAAGTCCATCTTACAATCAGACCAAGCTCTCACAGATGGAGAGAAGGCCACTGCAGGTACCAGGAGGGTTGAGCCCTCAGAGGTGTGGGGAGGTTTTTGAGAAGCTCTCACAGGAAGATTTTCAGGAAACAGTTTCCCCATACTGTTTTAGATCTGAAAATAATAGGGGGATTGGGCCAGCACATCCAAGCCATCAGTGCCATTATATAACATTGGGACTCAGGATCCTGCTGTTCTGGTCAATGGGAGAATTCAGAGTCTCCTGTCTTACAGGAACAGTTCAGTTTCTGAGCTCAGCAAGGTAAATCTCGGGCTTGACCGTTGTTTTCTTCCCTGTTTGTAACCATTTTGGAACAGCTGAGCGTGCCAAGAAGGAGGCAGCTGAGAAGGAAAGAGAGCTGCTAAAGCAGAAGCAGAAAGAACAGGAACAATTGATGGAGGCTCAAGAGAGAAGCTACAAGGAAAACATGGCCCAGCTGCAGAAGAAATGGGAGATAGAAAGGGAGAATATTCTGAAGGAGCAGGAAGAAATGTTGGAACACAAGCTGAAGGTGAGTCTGGGGAGGGTTGGCAAGACCTGCCAGACCATGTCCAGGTGCTTCCGGAAGAGAGGACCAAATCTTAAGATAAGAGACAATTCCCAAGGGACAGTTCAAAGGTAAATGTTTCCATAAAACTTCCAAGCCAGGCACCAGTGGCTCATGCCTGTAATCCTAGCTACTCAGGAGGCTGAGATCTGAGGATTGTGGTTCAAAGCCAGCCCCGGCAAGAAAAATCCGTGAGACTCTTATCTCCAATCAACCACCAGAAAACCGGAAGTAGTGCTGTGGCTCAAGTGGTAAAGTTCTAGCCTTGAGCTGAGGAGCTCAGGGTCAGCGCCCAAGCCCAGAGTTCAAGCTCTCCACCACCCAGGCTTAGTGCTTCCCTAGTATGCATGAAGCCCTGGATTCAATTCCTCAGTACCACATAAACAGAAAACGCTGGAAGAAGTGGTGCTGTGGCTTAAGTGGTAGAGCACTAACTTTGAGACAGAGTGGCTCAGGGACAGAGCTTAAGTCCTGAGTTCAAGCCCCAGGACCAGAAAAAAAAAAACTTCCAATGCACTTACAAAGAATCCATCATTATATAGTATGAGATTTTAGAGTGTAGAAATAATGTCCCCCAGGATGTCGGGCTGCTGTTTGTTGAGATGAACGGATGCTTTCCACGTCTCAACAGAACAGTTTACTAATCGTTAGAATTCTTGGCAGAGCCATCAAAGACACATGAAATAAATCCATCCCATCTGAATGCATTTTTTTACCTGAAATAAAACAATGTTGAAAGTTCAAAAATTGCTCCATTTGTTTCAGTATCAGACAGAGTCACTCAATACAATCTGACTGCAATAAGCCCTGTTGATTTGATAAGGAGCTTGACCATCAGTGTTCATTACATGGTCATCATTTCCATAATTCATTATATGATCCTGGTTATGACACCTCCCTGGAGCTCAGAACTAATTGGAATGCAACCTGCATTTTCCCCCATCTGTGTTCTGGAAGAATCTTCTCACCATCACCCCCCACACACACACTTTCCCTGGATAGCTCCACTCCTTAGATCCAGATGTCTGCAAAGTAGCTCAGAACTTTCCAAAATAGTGGAGAAATAGATAGGTGTGCTTGAGCTAAGTTGTTAGATATAAAACTGATCATCAATCATGGAGGAATTCTTACAATGGGCTTTTTCTCTTTTATAGGTTCAGGAGCTGCTGCTTATGGATGGATTTAGAAAGGAGTCTAAAAAGTTAACTAAAGAGATACATAGACTACAAAAAGAGATTGAAAGAAATAGAAACAAAGAATCACTATTTTCAAAACTCCTTGCTGTGGCTGGTGAGGTGCTCATGGCAGTACTCCCTGGGGCTGGTAAATTGTTTGGCTTAGGGACAAAAGTGTTGAGCTCACAGATGGAATAGTCTAAAATTTCCTGGGAATTAATGTATAAACGGGTTGATTTTTATTTCAAAAGCAGAAAATTGTGTCTCCATTTCAAAATGTATGTGTCACAGTGAATTTATTCAAGAAAAGTTTTAAAATGAAAAGCAAATGTCTCAAAGCTCATAGAATTCACAAACTTTAGAGACCATCATAAAGACAATTTGCCCCATGAAGGTTAGAATGTGTTTAACTAAGTATCACTATCTCAGAATACTGTGAAATTTGTGCAATTTATGTAATCACTTAATCACAATAAAAAATGTAAATTAACAAAAGCAATTGTCAAAGAATATCAGGGAGCCTGGTGCCAGTGGCTCATATCTGTAATCCTACCTACTCAGGAGGCTGAGATCTGAGGATTGCAGTTCAAAGCCAGCCTAGCAGGAAAGTCTGTGAGACTCGTATCTTCAATAAACCACTCAGAAAACTGGAAGTGCTGCGGTGGCTCAAGTGGTAGAGTGCTGGCCTTGAGTTGAAGAGCTGAGGGATAGTGTTCAGGCCCAGAGTTCAAGCCCCATTACCGACCAAAAAAAAGAAAGAAAGAGAATATCAGGGAATAACATTCATAGTATGATTAACTTAACTGAAAGAACTTGGAACTTAGGAAGAATAAAATTATTTCTAGAGCTGGGTGCAAGTGGCTCACGCCTGTAACCCTAGAAGGCTATAATCTAAGGATCACGGTTCAAAGCCACCCCAGACAGGAAAGTCCATGAGACACTCATCTCCAATTAACCACCAGAAAACAGAAAGGGGTGCTGTGGCTCACCATGATAGAATGCTAGCCTTGAGCAAAAGAGCTCAGGGACAGTACCCAGGCCCCACAAATGACTATATATATGAGAAAGATTTTAGGACAACAAAAACATGTATGACAAGGTAAAGAAAATATCTGTACTATATATTTTTAGTCACATAAATCACTTATAAGGAGCTTTTATGAGCTGTGATCACATTTAAATGGGAATAACTGTGAGAAACAAAACATTGACCAAAAATAAAAGTGGTGCAAGTTAAACCTGTGAAGTTCTTGTTTCATCTCTATGGTGGTCAAGGAAGAGTATTTTTGCCAGAAGCTGGGATGGCCAGGAGTTGAAGTTGAGTCTTGCTGTTTGCTATGGAGTTTGTGAACTGTTACAGTCAAACGCCAAAAATGGAAATGTGCCAGGTACTGGTGGTTCAACCTACAATCCTAGCTACTCAGGGAGGCTGTGGTTCTTTTTTTCTGTTTTCCCCCTTTTGTTGCTGTTTTTTATTTCTGTATCTTTTGTCTTCTGTGTAAGTTTACCTGATTTCAGGAGGGGAAAGGGAAACACAGAAATGGAGAGACAGAGGGTGAACTAATACAGCAGTGATACTCACTAGACACTATGTTGGAAATTTGGGGGGAGAAGGGTTGGGAGGGAAAAAACTGGGAGAAAATGAGGGAGGGGTGACACTGTTCAAAAAGAAATATACTCATTCCCTGACTTAGGTAACTGTAACCCTTCTGTATATCACCTTTACAATAAAAAATAAAATAAAAAGGGGAATACTGCATGATGCAAGGTCTTTTGCTCACCAAGATAGAAAAGTGACACATACATAATGAGAATTTAACAAATAGTTCAAATAGTTGAAATTAAATATTACCAAATATGTTTTTAGTATATGTATAAATAAATTACTTTTGAAAGCCTCCTTATTCTTTGATTGAGGTTGTCTCTAACCTAAGGAATTAAAATATGTTAAATTTTAATTCTAAACAAATATTTGCATATAAAACTTCACTTTTCCATCCCTGTCTATCAGTTATTGTCCACATTTTTATCACCATATTACAGCATGATGTAATTGCCCCTAAATAGGGTCAGGCAGGAAGCAGGGTCACAGGACACAATTATTAACCTGAAAATGATTTTCTTAAGCTCCATTATGTGATGTCAAAGGTACCAAAGTCAGCCTCATTCCATACAGCTGAATTTCAAGATGCCAGGGACAGATCACAGGTGTTACATTTTTTTAAAAATCTTAGAGCACTAGAATATATAAACTGAAATGTATCTGAGACTTTCTGATTCACCTTTTTTTTTTTTTTTTTTGGTCTGGTCGTGGGGCCTGAACTCTGGGCCTGGGTGCTGTCCCTCAGCTCTTCAGCTCAAGGCTAGCTCTCTACCACCTGAGCCACAGCACCACTTCCAGCTTTTTTCTTTTTGCTTATGTGGTGCTGAGGAATTGAACCCAGGGCCTCAGGCATGCAAGGCAAGTGCTCTATTACTGAGCCACCTTCCCAGCCCCTGATTCACCTTTTTTTATAACTCCAAGGCTCTCAGAATTCAACAAGGACAACTGTGTAGTTCACATCCAGATGTTCTTAGTTTCCGATTGCACGGTGAGATCTAATACTAAACAAACAAACAAAAAACACTGAAGGAAGATGAATAAATCACATGCAATGACAGCAGATTACTGAAGCAGCACATAAATTACATGAACAGACTTCCAGTGATAGGCGCAGCAAGACAGAATATATGCTTTCTCTATTTCAAAGAGAAAAGGAGACCCAACTTTGTGTCATCTACCCACATCATAATCCTTCACACTTTCTGCTCTGTCTCAATGCTTGCTTTGTTGATAAATACTACTCCCATTTCCCACTCTGAGAAAGTCTATATCCACGTGGGTAGTGGGTAACTGACCAGTAGTCTAGGTGAGAGAAAAGGCAGACTGCCTTGTGTAATTGTGCCACATCTTAAATATATTTCAAAAGAAGGTTAGCTAATTGAACAAAACTGCAATTAGATCAAGATCTTCCAATTTTCTATAGAATAAAATAAAAACTTTTTTTAAAAAAAGAGCCAGGCACTGGTGACTCACACCTGTAATCCTAGCTACTCAGGAGGCTGAGATCTGAGAATCATCTCCAGTCACAAGACAACTGTAAGAAGTGGATCAGTGGCTCAAAGTGTAGAGCACTAGTCTTGAGCAAAAAAGCTCAAGGACAGCGCCCAGGCCCTGAGTTCAAGCCCTACCCCCGGAGGAAAAAAGGAAAAGTAGAAGTTCTTCTCAGCTCTCCTCCTCTAATAGTAAAAATCATTTGCCAAATAATACTAAAAAAAGGTAATAACAGCATCATAACAATGTCTTAATAAATCAGGAAACTGTCAAGATTTATTATCACACCCATCATTTGTTTTCCTATAAAAGCCTCAGCGGCATCAACATTTTCCAGTTTATTTTGCAGTTCTGTTGTGCAAAAATTGGACTTCTGCCAAGCTGGACCATGCAACTGCCAAGCCATTCTATCTGTCTTTTCTCACATTAGTCTAGAGTTTACAACTGTGCTGATTCATGGGGCTGCAAGCAAGAGTTCCCGACAACATATGTTCCCCTTCTCCACATGGTGATTGTTATCATTTGCTCTGTGATAGACAATACTATGAGCACAAATATCTGCATTCTTTATTTTCTTCTATTTTAATATTTTCTGTTTTCATCAAACATGTTTATCTCATTTTAAGCAAACTAAAACCAATATAGACCTGTCAATTTATTATATAAATTTCTTATATAATATTTATATTTATTATATAAATTTATTATATAGATTTCTATTAAAAGCTTGATTCTAATGTGGTTTCTCTTGTTGGGTTAGAGCTCTAGGAGTACCTAGAATATTTGGATATTTAATAGATAAAATAACATGGTACTCCAAAATAGAACTATATAATGATTGTATCTGTCTCTACATATTTATTTATTGTCATTTATGGAATTTGAACTCAGGGCTGGGCTTTTTTCACTTGAGTCTAGTGCTCTACCACTTTGAGCCACAGGGCCACTTCTGGTTTTCTGGTGGTTAATTGGGGATAAGAGTCTCATGGACTTTCCTTCCCAGGCTGGCTTGGAACCACAATCCTCACATCTCAGCCTTCTGAGTAGCTAGGATTACAGGCATGAGCCACACATGCCCAACCTTTCTCTACTTTTTGGTTCAATCCTTTCCATCGTTGTTGATCAATCTTTTGTATTAGGTTCTTATCATTAAAGAGTTATGAGCTGTGTGCCTTATCAAGCTACAATCCTTCCAACATTTGGACAATGGTTCCCTCTGGTGCTAAGACCTTGATGTTGCAGTTTGAGAAAAGGGAAAGTAAAAATCTCGCATGATGTTTAGATTTTCAGACAGCATGCTCTTCATCTACTTGCACATTGTGTTTGGAGGTCTTCCCAGAACTCCCAGACGTTTGGCATTTTCTACCTATATTTAGTAAGCTATAAATTTTTTGATTAGGAGTGGCTAGATGAAGAACAACAAAGCAGATGTATGCATTCGTCGTGGTATTAAGGGAGAATCTTTGCTTCTGGAATAATGTCCAGATTTTAGGACAATTTTAAAGTTATTCATGAGTTTGGGGGAGGGGAAGAACAATTGTATTTGACTCTTCACTATTTGCAATATTCAATCTCCTCGAGGAGGATTACTTTGACTCTTCACTATTTGCAATATTCAATCTCCTCGAGGAGGATTACTAGCGTAGAATTGTCTCGACTATTTTTTCAGACATTTTGTCATTAAAGTTGAACGGAAGAGGAGAGTGTAAGAAAAATCTTAAACTTCACCAGTATTCCAGCAGGGCACTGGAGACTCACACTTGTAATTCTGAGATACTCAGGTGGCTAAGATCTGAGGATAGAATTTTAAAGCCACCTCAGGTAGGAAGGTCCATGAGAGTCTCAGCTCCAATTAACCACCAAAAAGCCAGAGTGGAATTATGGCTCAAGTGGTAGAACTCCAACCTTAAGTGAAAAGGCTAAGGGACAGAACACAGGCCCTGAGTTTAAGCCCCACTACGGCATACTATTTCCAAGCATCTCTTACAGACTGAATTCATTTTTTTTCCCTCAGGACACCATCTTATACTATCTGAATGACTGTTATGGATAGCATACTCTGACACAGCACCTGAAAATGACCCACAGACTTGTTCTCTGCTATGTATGTTCAGAACTACTAGATGTCCCTTAAGTAGATTTTCTTTCTTAGAATCATGACTAATGTAAAAGTAAACAGTAAGATATTAGAGATAAGAATCGTTTTTTAGGTCTTAGGTCTGCAAGTATGAGGTAAAGATTTTAGCCACTCATGCAAGGTGAAGAGGATCTTCTTCTAGTCTGCATCATACTTCTATATAAAATACCATGTTTCAATTCTATTAAAGATCTTTTTCAAAGAATGAGAGCATTTGTATGTGTCAAACTATTTTTCAAACCACAATCCATCTAATCACTGCTGAGTTTATTTAGAAGTGTAACATGGGAAATGAATTTCTGAATGACAAAGGACAGTATTTTAAGTGCCCTCAAAGAAACAGCAGCATGGTGTATGCATCTACTAACCATGTATTACTTACTCTGCTGATTAAAAATGAACTCTTATCTTCTCCCTCCCTCACTGAACTTTCACTGACAGATTCAACTGCTCTATTTGTCATTAGGGTTTTCTTTTCTTTTGTATTTAGGAGACAAGGTTTTACTACATAACTTAGACTGACCTTGAAATGAAGATCCTTCTGTCTCAGCTTTCCAGAGCTAGGATTACAGGTATGTGTCACCACACCTTCTAATATTTCTTTGAATTAACGAATACGAAGAAGAAAAGCTAGAAAGCAAAAAAGCAGGGAGAAGGGAAGAAAGTAGAAAAGGAAGAAAGAAGAAATAGGAAGGTATCTTTAATCCTTTTTCATTAATATCCTTTTGCTTGAGGTATAATTTATTCATCACAAATTCTCCATTCAAAGTTTTTAGTGAACTTATTTTTTATTTCTTTTTAAAAAAAATTTATTGTAAAAGTATTGTACAGTGGGGTTACAGTTACATAAGTCAGGTATTGAATACATTTCTTTTTAAACAGTGTAGGGCTGGGAAGGTGGCTCAGTGATAGAGCACTTGCCTTGCATGCATGAGGCCATGGGTTCGATTCCTCAGCACCACATAAGCAAAAAGAAAAAAAGCCAGAAGTGGCGCTGTGGCTCAAGTGGTAGAGCACTAGCCTTGAGCTAAAGAGCTGAGGGACAGCGCCCAGGCCCAGAGTTCAGGACCCACGACCGGACCCCCCCAAAAAAAAATTACTATGTTTAAACAGTGTACTTGCCATTCAAAGTTTTCAGTGACTGTTATGTTAAATAATCATCCAAACTATTTCAGAACATTTCCACCCTCTGTGCCTCCCAACTTCCCATGCTATTAGTTAGTCCCAATTTCTCCTTCACACCTTCACACCTCCTCAATTTTGGTGGTTAATTGGAGATAATCGTCTCTTTTGTTTTCTACCTAAACTAGCTTCTAGCCTCAATTCTCAAATCTCCGCTTCCTGATACTGGGATTATAGGCATGAGCCACCAGCACCTGGCTCTGTTTGTCTCTTTATTTTTAAACTTATGTGCTCAGGATATATGGAAATTTCAATATAGGAATTTCTGCATATTCAGAATAGACTTTTTTACCAGATATGTTTTTAAGTATCTTCTCCTATTCTGTAGTTTGCTTTTCACAGTGTTATTTCCTTTGATGCACAAAAGTTTTTAATCTTGTTAAGTTTCCTTTCTTTATTCCACTTTTGATGCTGTCATTTAAGAAACCATTTACAATTCTGAGGTTATAAAATAGTATTTCTGTATTCCTACAAGTCTTATAGTCTGGTCCTTTTGTTTATAATGGATGCATTCTGTGTTAATATTTATATATGACTCAGCACAGGAGTAAAATTTTATTATTTTTCATAAGAATACCTAGTTGGCTACCACCATGTGTTAGAAAGACTTTTTGATTCTCAGTGGATCATCTTGACACATTTTTCAAAAACCAATAGGCCATAAATATATGTTTACTCCTAGACTATCAATTCTGTCCAAATGGTCTCTATGTCCAACATTATACCACTATCATGCTATATTTGATCTAATATGTGGTAGATTTTAGTATTGGAAAGTGTGTGACAGAACTTTATTCTTTTCCAATACTACTCTGACTATTTTGGGCCCCCTGTAATTCCACATGAATTTGAAGACTGGTTTGTCCACTCTGAAAAAAATGTAATTTTAATAGCAATTGCATAGAATCTGTAGGTCATTCTAGATAGTATGTAACAAAATTAACTTAATAATAACAATATCATCTTCCAATCTATGAACATGAGTAGTCCCCATTTATTTATGTATTATTTCATTTACTTTAAATAATGCTTGATAGTTTTTGTGGTATGCAAGTCTTTCGCATCTATGTATTAAGGAAGTTTCCTCACCTAAAGAGACAGCTGACTTTTAACCAATTCACAGATGACCTCTAAATTCTTGCAGATTCCCATGTATTAGGAGTGCCTTCAGAACACACTTCATAGTTTATGATAAGTAGACTATTCAGATTTGTACATGAAATGTCCTTCCACAAGCCATGTGTTCAAAATTTAGTCCCCAACTACTGGAAGTAGAGGTTATTAGCTCATGAGGATGCCAGTATCATCAATGGAATAACTCATTAATGCGTTCATAGATGAAGGGATTATTAGGAGGTAGGGCTTGTGGATCATTTGAAGGAGCTTTGAAGGGTATCTCATGTCCCTGGCCCCTTCCTACATCCCTCTCTGCTTCCTATCTGTCATGAGGTGCTGCTTTGCTCCAAATGCACCTGCCAAGATGCTGAGCCTCACCATGGGCACAGAAGCAATGCAGCCAAGTGACCAGGGATTGTAACCTCTGAAACTTAAGCCAAAATAAATCCTCCTTTAAATTGTTTTGCTTAGGCATTTTTCACAGTGATGGAAAATAAGTCACACAGAAATGGATCATGGTGAACCCTCAACAATCGTTAGTACGATGAAATGACTCAGGGCAAGAGCTAGAAATGCGAGAAATACTAATCATGTGATCAGAGGATGGTAGTATTGCACCACTTATTAACATTCTGACCTCCGAGAGGAGAAGGAAGCCTGGAGATCAAATCCAATCATATAGGCAATTCATTAATTATGCTGGTATAATGAAGACTCTATAATAAAAGACTCTGGGAACCAGAGCTTTGGTGAAATTTCCTAGTTGGCAACGTGTGTGTGTGTGTGTGTGTGTGTGTGTGTGTGTGTGTGTGTGTGTGTGTGTAGTGGTACTAAGGCTTTCCTTTATTCCTTTTCTTTTCTGTCTCTGTGGGGGGTGCTGGGAGGGTACTGGGGCTTGAACTCAGGGCCTGGGCACTGTCCCAAGCTTATTTTTCTCAAGGCTAAAATATACCACTTGAGCCAAACAAAGATCCACTTTTTGATTTTTGGTGGTTAATTTAAGATAGAAGTCTCACAAACTTTCCTTCCTGGGCTGGCTTGTAACCATGATTCTCAGATCTTAGCCTCCTAACTAGTAGAATTACAGGCATGAGACCCTGCTTCCAGGACTTTTCAATCACAGCTGATACTATACCACTTGAACCACATCTCCAGTCCAGCATTTTGCTCACTAATTAGAATCTCACAGACTTTTTCCGCCAGAGTTGGCTTGGAACTATGATCATCAGGTCTCAGCCTTCTGAGTAGCTAAGATTACAGACGTGAGATATTGGCACCTGGTTCAACAATACTGTCTGAAGTCTGTCACACTTCATAGACTGGAGGAGGCAATGCTATCTAGGACTGCAGAAGGAGAAGATGACCAGAGGCTGTGCATTTAAACCCTTCTGAGATTTAGTCTTATACTGCCTTTCCTTGGTCAAGTTTAATATATCCTATCCTCATAACCTTGAGTATAATAAAGCCCATATACTCAATGTTATACCAATGAGTTGAGACTTCCAGAAAAATTATTTGTCTGAGGATGGTCTTGGGAACAGCTAAAGTATGGACAGTTTTGAGACTTTCTTAATTTCCTATGTACTTGTTGGGGCTTTTCCCCCCAATGCTGAGAATCAAATCCAGGCCTTTGTATAGGATAAGCAATTATTGTGCCCCTGAGTTCTATCCCTTTCCTAATGTATTTGTCTTCTAACGAATTCTTAATCAGCAGTTGCTAAGTACCATGCTCAAGTGCTTTACAAAAACTTTTCTTTTATTCTAGTCCCATAACAACTCTATGGAATATGTACTTTTCTTGTTGGAAGATGGGCAGACTAGTTGCCAAATCCATTATTAGAATCTACCACACTGCTTCCTAAGCCTTTCTTGAGAACTACTTGAGCACCATTTCATTCTTTCCACTGCCATTCTTTCCTATCAGACTTGAAAGATCACACCTAACCAAGTTCTGTCTTCTTAAGTTATCAACTCCAATACTGCTACCCTCCTCGTAACTCCACAGCACTATTATTCTAAGTCCTGGCTATTCTGATGACCTGAAATTTTTTCCCATTTTCTGTGTTCATCAAACATAAGAAGCAATTATTGTTCCCAAGCAGCACTTGTTCATGGATTTCACATGGCCATTTTGAATTGTTATTAAACAGACAAGTGTATTGAGACACCACCACTCCCCACCCCAAGATCTACTCCCTCAATCTCAGGTTTTTCATTTGCAAAACAGGAACTGTAAGAACTACTTTACTGACAGACTTGTTGCAAAAATAAGTGGGGTTGAAAAGTAGGAAGGAGAAAGAGGATATGGAGAAGGCAGTGTCCTGGTATGCAGTAAGTGCTCCATATATGTTTAATTTAGCCTGTCTTTTCAAAGAATGTGTACTGTTCCTCAAAGAGTACCCTCAATATATATTTTTTCTATATTTCTCAAAAAACCTCAGAGACAGCCAATGATTGATTACTTCAACACACAATGCAAATTGGTATCTGGACCTGGTCAAGGACTAACAATGGGGCCTTGGAATGTGGTGTAATGTGGAGTGCTGGCCAGACCTCTGAGTTCAATCCAACAGTTCTTCTGCCAAAATCAGACTTTGCAGTCTGGCTTCAAATATGGGCCTCTTTCTAACTTGGTGACTTTCAGAAAATTACTTAAGTCCTTTGAGCTTTAGGTCCCTTCATTATAAAATGGTTTCCGTGATTCCTACCTTGCTGGTTGTGAGGATTCTACAAAAGAATGCAGGCGAGGTACTTAGCATGTAATCTGCCTCCAGCATAATTAGCTATAATTGAATTTGCTCCCAAACATTCAGAGTCCACAGAGATTTGGCCTCTGGAGGAGCTATGTTTCAGTCTCTGGATTTTCTGACAGCGTTCTTCTCTCATCCATTTTTAAAAGGTATTTATAGATTTATTCTTCAGGTGGTTTTTCTTTCTTGTTATTGTTTCTAACATATATATAAGGTGATTTTTTTTATTGCTTTGTATGTCCCCCACCCACACGGTATAACCCCTGTTTTCACTGTATTGGATGTTGGTATAATTTGTGGAGAGGAAGGGGAAAAAAAACAAATTGTTTAAATAGGGATACAGGTGGACTCATTGCAACAATGAGATGTATAAGACATTATGTCGAAAAACGAACTTTACAACTTTGGCAGGGGCGTGGGGGGGGCAGGGATGGGAAGGGGGAAACAAAGGAGGAGGCAACAATGCTTGATAAGAAATGTACTCATTATCTTGCTCATGTAACTGTAACCCCTCTCTACGGTATTTTCACAATAAAAAACTTATTAATAATAATTTCTTAAGTAAAAAAAGAATGTGTGGCCCTCTAACTGGCAATCCTACCATGCTCTGGGTGTTCCAAGTGGCCCTCACTCAGCACACCTGTCTTTAAACCGAGAGAGAGAGGGGAGAGAGGGGAGAGGGAGAGGGGGAAAGAGAGACAGACAGACAGACAGACAGAAACACAGAGACAGAGAGACAGAGACAGAGACAGAGACACAAAGAGGGAGGGAGGGAAGGAGGGAGAGTGAGGAGAAGGAGAGAGGGGGAGAAACAGACTGACAGACAGACAGACAGGCGTGGGGGGGGGGGGGTTGTCCATGACTGACACAGCCGGGCTCCTCCATCCAGACTCGGAAGGAGCCTCCGCAGTCGTGGGTTCAGGAGGACGCAGACCCCGGGCCGCTGACCCAGTGCCAGGCCGCGATCGGGGCGCGGCTCGTGGAAGTTCACAGCCCAGGCTCTCGGGCGCTGGCTCCCGGCGTCTTCCCCGGGTCCGGACCCACCCCGCCCGGCCCCGGGCAGTCGCCCGCGACCCCCGGTCTCCCGGGTCTCCAGGTCCCGCCCGGCGCGGCTGTTTGATGAGCGCAGGTGGCCGCGTGCACGCCGGGATGCGGAGCCCGCGCGGGTCGCTCGGTGTCTGGGGCTGGGGCCGGGGTGGGGTCGGGGGGAGCCCTCTTTGCCTGTGCGCATGCTCCAGGGCCACAGTTTCCCCGGCTGCCCGCAGAGCCCAGCGGCCGGGTGAGCTGCGTCCCGGCCGCGAGGGGGCCCCCGAGTGCGGCTCCCTGCCCGCCACTCACGCCCACGCGGCAGCAAGCCCGCAGCACGGTCAGTGGGGTTGGCAGAGGAGGGTCTGAGGGACCTGCAAGGGGCGGCGGGGGGCTTTAGCTCCCGGGGTAGGGAGGAGATGGGGCCGGGGCCTGGTGGTCGCCGGCGGCAGCCGCGGAGCCCGAGAGCTCGGAGCTGGTGAGGGGCTGGGCGGGGCGACGCGACCCCGGGGGCTGGGCCGGGACTGCGGCCGCCCGGACAATGATGCGCGGTCGGTGGACCTGCAGCCTCCCCGGCTCCGGGCCCGGGGCAGGGGGCCTGTTCGGGCGGGGATGCCTGCGAGAGCTGCTTTGCCTTCCCACCTGTGGGTTTCTGGTTTTTCTCTCTTGGATTCACCTGGCAAAGGAACGTCTCCACGCACGGCTCTTAGGGACTCAAATCTGGGGGAGAGTGCATTTGCAGGGTGTGAACCTTGCTTCATTTTGCATGGTTTCCCTTCCTTAACAGATTGTCTTTTTGTTGTTTTCCAGCTAGTGACTCTGAGTAATTCCATGAACCCACAGTAGGTGTTGAGCATAGTTAAAAGGAACCGTGGGTACAAGCAAAGCAGCAGCGTTTTAGGTACAGGATAGAATGTCCTGATGTGAGCAACTTCCTTCCTTCCTTCCTTCCTCCCTTCCTTCCTTCCTTCCTTTCTTCCTTCCTTCCTTCCTTCCCTCCCTCCCTTCCTTCCTTCCCTCCCTTCCTCCCTTCTTTC